GTCATTAGGCTGAATTAGGATTTATTGGTTATTAGACTACACTCTAAAAAAATGCTGGGTTGTTTCAACCCAACTTTGGGTCAAATATGGACTAACCCAACTTTTGGGTTAAAAATTTCATTTAAAAATGTAACCCAACAGCTGGGTTAGTCCATATTTGACACGAAGTTGGGTTGAAACAACCCTGCATTTTTTAAGTGTAATAAAAGTGTCAGAAGTAACCAGTATTCATGTATTTTCAATGGATAATTGTTTGAATTAATTTATGAGATGCCCAAGATTAAAAAAATGATTTATAGTAGACTTAAATTGGTTGTTAAATGAAAATAGCTTTTCAGAATTTTGCTGTTGGCTGTACAACAGGATGCAAAGTGAATTGAAGTGACTATTGTATATCTGTTAAGCTCATTGGAGCAATATTCCATTCAAAACATGCCTTCAACATGCCATGTCCAGTAGGATTCATGTTCAGTATGTTTTTATTTTACGATGTGTTTTGTTGGGCGTTGCTGTGAAACATACATTGTATATTCTACAGATTCAAATGAGCAGTTCACATCACTAGATTTGCAATCAGAGCAATGCATTGTAATCATGTTATGAACATTATTTTTTCTAGTTGAATGATTAAACTACCACTAAATATTTAAATTGGTTGCTCCTTGTAATAATGATTTTAAGGACAATGTTGACTGAACGTTTTTTTGGCAGCCTTGTGATACAGAAAGCAGCTATGCATGTTGAATTTTGCAATATGAAATTTATCTGCTGATGATGGAGCAACTGGTCTTGCAAAATCAAATTTTACATTAGACATTTGTCAAACTGAATCAATGCTCAAGTCTGCGATATCTAAAAACGAAACAAATGATCAAACGGAAAATATTTGTGTTATGTTTTGACCATGGAGCTTTTATTTTGAGACCATCCAGGCACCTACAGATCTCAGTGAAATACACAATTGCAAGAGGTGGATTTATAGAAGATCAACTTTGTTGAATTTCAGCGTTTGCACCGTCAAAGTAGTGGTTCCAAACCATTATTCCAAACAACAGCTAATTGCTACAATAAAACAGTATGATATATATTTGAAATAGCAAGCTGAAAAAACAGTTAAGCAATCAAATTCAACACAAAAAAACACTTATTTGGGAAAATATTTTGCCGTTAAAATTGAATTACTTGACAAATAACAACAGCTAATTGCTACAATAAAACAGTATGATATATATTTGAAATAGCAAGCGGAAAAAACAGTTAAGCAATCAAATTCAATACACAAAAAAACACTTATTTGGGAAAATATTTTGCCATTAAAATTGAATTACTTGACAAATTTAACAGAAATGGTTGAAAATATTAGCTGAACTAAACCACAGATAATTTTACATGACTGCAATTTGGCAAGAGCAAACTAGATAAATTACAGCATTTTAAAGCAAACCTTTACAAATAAAATGTCTACAATCACAGGAAAGAAAAGTACTGACTTCTCTTTTCTTTTTCTTCATTAGATCTAAGTGTGTAATCAATAGCAAAGCATTTCTAATGTAATTAGAACCTAAACTAATTCTGCTCTACGCATAATGTAAGACAAACCTGAACAAAAACCCCAGGAGAATGAAAAGGCACTTTAAGTACTTCAACAGGATTAGACAAAACTTTTCATTTAAAATATGCACTGCAAACCACATTCTGCAAAATATTTACTGGAAGGTTAATATATACAACCTGTTTTATCCAAATGAAAATAGGCAAAATTTAAACTTAAGCCTTATTGACTTTACAAATACGATGGAATAGTTATGAATTCAAACATTAATCTCTTTTAAATCAGAATTGATCAGACTTTCTACATAAATATTCATGCTAAATTTAGCTCTCAACCAAATCAGTGAGGTATGGGACAGTCGGTGCACTTCTTTTGGTGTGAATCTTCAGACATTCTCAGCTACATCATTAACAGAAGAGTGATCACTGCATCAACAGTGTTGAAAATTAAGTTAAAAATGACAAGCAAACACTTTATAAAAGTGACATGTGACTTATGTGAAGACAGATTTTTTTCAGAGCACAGCATGGGGTGAAGTTAGCGACTGCTAGAAAGGAGTTTGTTCAAATTAAGCTGGACTTTTCAAAGCAACAGTGGGTCTGATTATGGAGGAATTTGCTGCCAGAAATTAGTCAGCCTTTGACAATTCTGGGAAGTGCTTATTTAAATGATATATACTCGCAAGATGCTTCACAGACTTTCTCCATGGCAACTTCATGAACACCTGTAATTAGAGGTGCAAATAGTCATTCACCACAAAATATAATGCATGCTGTTATTTAAAAACAAAGAATAAATTATATAAATGTTATATAATTATACTACATACTGTATTATACTATATTTTTAAGGTAAATTTATAACTGCAGGCTCAGGTAAAAAGCCAGAAGAAAGAATAATTTAAGTGTCTAAAAAACACTCAGGGCTGTTGATGCATAAATGAGAGTGTGCATATGCACGTATGGATTTGCTAAATACATGAGGAAGAACCTTCAAAACTCAAAATGTCCTCCTCAATTCTAAACTCAATTCTTATATTTTGGGATTGATGGGTTTCTGACATCAGAAATCTAACCGGCCACATTTAAATGTCAATGATGCTTGTGATGTTCAGAAACTCTGCCTGTCTGCTCATGGTGAGGTAAGGAGGAGGATGTAAGAGAAGCCTGTGTCTTAGAGAAAGTTGCAGAGATCCATAGTTCCCATTGTCCTTACCACGTATGTGAGGGTGTTATAATGGATCATCTCGATTATTAGTTGCCACCTTGTCAGAATACGAGTGTTTTGAGCTGCAATCCAAAAGTCGCAGTGATGGTCAGCATGTGCATGACTAAATAACTGGGTATATTAAACCTCAATCCAGCAGACACGTATAAGACCTCATCCCATAGCTAAACACAGAAATCCCTCCACACAAAACAAGCAAAAACAAAACAGCAGCACACAGCCTCCCATGTAGACTATCAGCATTAATGGTTGCAGAAGTGAAGAATTTTCCACAATAACTTTTCATGGGAACTTCTTTCCTGAGAATTTTTATGCACAATTAAGCATTTTGTGGTTTGATACATTGCATATATATATTTAACTACCTGCTCAAAAAAAGTGTCTGTCTACTTTTTCAGCATTCTCTGCTGAAACCACCAAGATGAATCTCTTGATTTGAAGCAAAAAGTAGAATTTTAGAAAAATGGGCACTTAAATTAAAGAATGAATTGCTTGTGGAGCATTGTGAATGACATATCTAAAACTAAAAATGATACAACTGATCAAAAAATAAATGTATGCAGATATATCTGCAAAAATAAGATTTTTGGAAAAGGGAACGTCTACATACAGTATTCACAGTCAGGAGCCCTGTGAATAGGATCACGGCTTGAGAGGGGTAATTGGGATACTGACTCAGTGTCATTTGCAATGATTCATGGGAGCAGAGATTTCTTTGAAAGATTCTCTGCAGGATTATGGATATCTAGTTCTACACCAAGGAAGAGTCATCACCTTTTCAAAATACTCATGCTTCGAGTTGCAATCCAACAGTCAGCATGTGCATGACTAAACAGCTGGTATACTAAACCTTCACCTCGAAGGAATCTCCATTTCCCATGGAAAATGTGGAAATCTTACCCAAACCTTCCTCCTGTTTTGCAACCACTGAATGCAAAGTATTAATTTATTACCCAATATGAGAGTATAAGAACAACAGCCTAGAAATCACATGAGTAACTGAGAAAGTGCAGATAACTTACCGATTCTTTTTGAAACGCAGCACTACAAACACAGCTAATAAACAGAAAGAAATTGTGTTACAAATGATTAACCTTGATCGTAATAAAAAAAAAAAAAGATTAAATTCTTATTTTAAATGTCAGAATCCTACATAAAAAGAACAACAAAACTAATTTTCTTGAATATTTCACAAATAAAAACAAAACTGATACTGTGACAGTTGTCGGGGGATTGGACGAAGTGCACAATTGGATTTATGCTCAGTGAGGGAGGAATATCAGCCCAAGTGTATATGTTTAGCACATTTCTCACACACCAGTAGATTCAGTTATGATTTAAATAGATTATAATAAATGTTGTTAATAATAAATTATACATTAAGTTTACTTTAAATTTAACAGTATTCAGAACAGGAATGCAAAATATGTTTAAACGAGTTGTTGTGGAGTGACGAGAACTTAAAAAAAAAAACGTGTTTGTTTATTATACATGTTAACTTATCTTTTTCTCTCTCTCTGTTTCTCTCTCTCAACAATGCAATTATGGCCTTGTGTGATAATCAGGTAGGACTTATTTTTCAGAATATAAAGTAATTATCAAAAAGGTACAATTAAAACATTCTCTGTTTCTTTGCATTATGTTCATTATAAAAAAAAAACGAGCTGACTGATTATATTTTTGGAAAAAAAAAATTCATAACTCTTGTTTTTTTCCCCCCTGGAACACAAACTCAGTCATTTTTAAAGCATAACACTGCTACAACTTAAAGGATTTGGTGACTGTATTGAATAAGAAGGTATAGGACATGTAGATTATCAGGTGAAATATGCAGACTGACTTACCCAGACCAATCAACACAGCACTCACAATCACAATCAGTGCAACAACCCATCCAGCTGCTAAAAATAAATAAATAAATACATTGTTTAATGGATTAAGACAAACACTTTGTAAAATGTGAAATCACTTTGTAACACCTGCAACAAAATTAAACATAACCCAGAAGTAAATATTCATTTAAAACTAACTACAATGTCCAACTAGAAATATGACATGACCTGCAGAATGCTCAGAAACCAGCCTATTATAGAATACTCTGAATCTCTGAGCTGTCACACTCCATCAAATATATGAACTTACATTTACAGAAATACTAGAATGATCACATTTCATAATCCACCAGTTTCATACATTTCAGATCAAAAAGATCAAGGAGCCAAGGGTGACCGTTACTGACAAGAGGAATCAGCTCTACTGAATAATATAGTAAAAAAAAAAATAATAATAATACTTACGTGTACTTGTTGCGTCTCCTGTGGCATAAAAAAATACAGTTAGGAAACCGTAAAAGAGGAAAAATGTGTAGATTCTAATACAAACAGATGGATAAGGTTATAGATGGAGTAGATAATTTTAAAACAGATACAGTGGACCGACAGTTTAAGTAAACAGTTATGCAATTATACCAGAAATATAATTACTCTCTCATGCTAAGAAAAAAAAAGATTATTCCCCTAACAAGCCCATTATAAAGAGCTAATAACATTAAAGGGGTCATGAACTGCCTTTTTTTATTATTATTTTGTACCGTTCTCTGAGTTCCACCTATAACGTTATCAAGATTTTTTATAATAAAATATAGATTCATAAGACAATACCATTCTCTTTAGGAGCCTTGGATGGTGTGGAAATCTCAGGAGTTGTAGGTAGGGCTGAGAATCAACATTTGCATTGGGTTAGGGAACTATAGAAATGCGAGTACAAGAAGTCCAGAAAACCCCAGAAATAGTCACACTCTCAAAGGGGTCATGAACTGCCTTTTTTTTTTTAAATTTTTTTTTTTGTACCGTTCTCTACCGTTACTGACAAGAGGAATCAGCTCTACTGAATAATATAGTAAAAAAAAAAATAATAATAATACTTACGTGTACTTGTTGCGTCTCCTGTGGCATAAAAAAATACAGTTAGGAAACCGTAAAAGAGGAAAAATGTGTAGATTCTAATACAAACAGATGGATAAGGTTATAGATGGAGTAGATAATTTTAAAACAGATACAGTGGACCGACAGTTTAAGTAAACAGTTATGCAATTATACCAGAAATATAATTACTCTCTCATGCTAAGAAAAAAAAAGATTATTCCCCTAACAAGCCCATTATAAAGAGCTAATAACATTAAAGGGGTCATGAACTGCCTTTTTTTATTATTATTTTGTACCGTTCTCTGAGTTCCACCTATAACGTTATCAAGATTTTTTATAATAAAATATAGATTCATAAGACAATACCATTCTCTTTAGGAGCCTTGGATGGTGTGGAAATCTCAGGAGTTGTAGGTAGGGCTGAGAATCAACATTTGCATTGGGTTAGGGAACTATAGAAATGTGAGTACAAGAAGTCCAGAAAAACCCAGAAATAGTCACACTCTCAAAGGGGTCATGAACTGCTTTTTGATTACTTTGTACTGATCTCTGAGGTCCACTTATAATGTTATCAAGATTTTTACATCAGAAAACATCATAATTTAGCAGTAATAGGCTATTTTCTGTCCTGTTTTGAGCCCCTCATCGGAACGCTCTGTTTGAATAGATGTGGCGGATTGTAGACTCGGAAGTAAACGCGGACTGCTATGATTGGCTAACAGTTGTGTATGTTTGACAGCCTACATCCTTCATAGATGGACGCTGCTGTGATTTTAGGTTAAAAATGCATAAATAGTCAGTACATATCAAACGATCTGTAATAATAGATAAAGCAATAGTGATCACGTAATAAAAACAGTTACTCACCCTTGTGTGGTGCGACATTACTGTCAAATCCAATATAGTCTATTTCACTAAATACTATTTATAGACTACTGAGTACTATTTGTGACACTGGATCACAAAACCAGTCTTAAGTAGCACGGGTATATTTCTAGCAATAGCCAAAAATACATTGTATGGGTCAGAATTATAAATTTTTCTTTTATGCCAAAAATCATTAGGCTATTAAGTAAAAATCATGTTTAATGAAGATATTTTGTAAATTTCCTACTGTAAATATATCAAAACATAAATTTTGATTAGCAATATACATTGCTAAGAACTTAATTTGGACAACTTTAAAGGCGATTTTCTTGGTATTTTGATGTTTTTGCACCCTCAGATTCCAGATTTTCAAATAGTTGTATCTCGGCCAAATATTGCCCTATACTAACAAACCATACATCAACGGAAAGCTTATTTATACAGTATACAAGTATGACTGTTTATAAATATGTTATATAAATATATTAAATATGTTTATAAGTATGTTGTATAAATCTCAATTTTAAAAAATTGACACTTATGACAGGTTTTGTGGTCCAGAGTCATATTTTAGTTATTATACCATTATTACTTATTTCTATCTTCTGCACTACTAATGTGATGGTTAGCTAGACTCACTATAGCTCACTAAGACTTCCTCAACAAACACCACAAGTAAGTATATAACAACTTTCATTCTGGGTGAACAGTTCCTTTACAAATTGCAGTCATACATTAATAAAATAAATTATTTCAATCTTACTTGCTTTAATGCATTGTGGTGGTTCAGGGCTCCATCCATTTGCTTTACACACAATAGAAGCATCTCCGTTCAGTGTATAGCCATCTTCACATTTGTATTCTATAAAGTTGCCCAGTTTGTAGGGGGGTGATTTTCCACCGATTCTTTTTGCATTAGGAATTGTAGGCACTGGACACCCATCTGGGGAAAAAAAGGAAAGACTTTTTTTTATATAAAAGAATAGTACTGATAATTAAATATTTTATTAATTAAAAGGAAGAAACTCACAAGATTTTTTTCCTTCATCTCATGACTGGCATTTTAACCATAGCTTACCAAAACATTTAGGCAGATCTGGTTTAAAGGTTCCGTCCTCAGAACAATGAAGTGTTGATTGTCCTATAAGATTAAGTCCTGTGTTACATCTATAGGAGACTGCATCTAAATAATCGTAACTATCCAAAGGCTCATCTTGAAGTTGCCCATTTTCTAAGGCTGGAGGTGCTGAACATTTCACCGCTAAAGAGAAAAACACATCCAGATGAATAGGTATTTATTTCCAGGACAAAAAAAATATTTTAATACAAATTGGGAATGGTTTTGTGCTCTTCAATATTATATTTTATTCAAATGGAAGAACTAACATACGTTCACAGAGAGGATCTCGGCCATCCCATCCCTGATCTCGGCATGTTCTTGTTGTTTCCTTACCCGCTAACATGTATCTGAAAGCAATGATTCTCATCTTACTAAATACTCAACTAACACAGCAAATCTAAATTCCACATGGTTTAAAACAGACTTAAAACAGCATATATAAAATGACATTAACTGTTTCACTTACCCTGTGTGACAAACTGGTTTAGCCGTGTCGCCAAATAAATTCCCAGTCATATCATATCTCCCATTAAGGAAATCTGCAAGACTTCCACAGGATTTTCCTGTAATGTATTCAAGATATTGATTCATTTAGAATTGGTGCTCTTCAAATACTGTCGAAAATAATGAAAAATCATCTTTAGTGTTGCTTCATTACATGATACAGGGATTTATTCTTGCCGTCAGTGGCAAAACCACTATGAGTGATTTAAAGACTTCTTGAACTATACCATACATCCTTTCACATATCTAAATTAGACCTTTTAAAATACAATGTTCAAAGGCATTTTAAAGGAATTTACAAATGTACATTACTTAATATTTAATGACAGTACATACTTGTGCAACTGAGTTCCAGACTTGTCCACTGGTTTTGCTCACAGGTAACCGATCTAGATGCTTTTAAGTTAACTGGCTTGTGTCCAATCACGCACTCAAATGTTACAGTGGATCCATCTGAGAAACTTTGAGTCGAGAGATGGTTTGCTGTTAAAACGACATTTCTTGATGCAAAAGAAGGCGGTGTACATTCCGCTGTGGAAATAAACAAAACGTATGCGTTACAGTAATCTGACGCAGTACTATATTGATCATCATAATTATTATTATTAGAACAACTTCTGCTCCATTCTATACTTATATTTGGTAAAAAGAAAAAACATTACTAGGAGGGGATTACCTTTTTAAACAACAGTAAATTAGTATTACTTACTCGAGTAAGACGTGCAGTTGAAATTAAATTAAAATGCTTGAATGGGATCAGCTAATTAAAGTTTATTAACAGTTTTTACTTTTTTTTTTATGTTGCTCATTCTTTATCAACCCCCACGCCACCCCTTTAAATATATAAATATAAATTGTTTTCAAAACTTGTAAAATTTCGTTTTAGTATTTGAAAGAGCCAAAGTAGCTTTTGGGTAAAAACACAACTGTGTCTAATGCTACACACAATGGTGCTAACTACAACTGAGCAAATCATGTGCAGAAGTTTTCATACAGTTTTATCACTGTGATCATTGCAAAATGTATTAAGGTTACATAAATATTTGTGAACTGGGGACAAAAACACATCTGCTGGTTAAGGTCACGATTAAATCTGTCCTGACATTATTACAAGGGCACCAATGCAGGCTCATTTAAATGCTAAAATTACTTTTGGGTTTATGCATCCATTTCATGATCAAAAGCAAATGGAAGTCATGTGCATGTATCATGTTTATCAGTGAAGATTTTGGTTATTTCGGTGTACAGTAGCGGCATGCTGCGTCCCCGATTAGGATCAAGCATTAAGCTAAAACTTTTCTGTTTGCAAAGCATTATTAGTTTCTAGTATCAACATTATGCTATGCTATGCTATGAGGCTATACACAGTTTACAGAAAACACAAAGTCACCTTTCTTAATATTATATTACAGCACCACACAATTCTTAGAATAGAAATATGTTATCCACCTTTGTCTGAGGGAATGTCTTACTGTGTTTTTAAACATATGGGCAGCACTTCTGGTTTAGCCAAGTGTCTCTCAAATTCACTGAAACAAATGATTTCATATTTTAAGGGTGCACTACAAATAATCCTAATTATCCTAATAATCTGTTAGATTGACTGAATGAGCTATATGTTTTCCGTCATTCTTAATTTATCTATCATACGTAGATACACCCCATTCATATGTAGATAGCACATCTGATTTTTTTTTTTTACTTTTCTGCTGTAACAATATGAAAAAGACAAAAAAAGACACTGTGCCCATGGTCTGCTATCGTGATTTAATGAACAATATCCCACAAATAATTCACTGGAATGTCCCATTTTGTAAAAAAAAATCATTAAACAAGTTTATTGTCAGTATCTGATTGTTCACACTTCTGTGGAAGTTCCTCCCATAATTCACTGAAAGCGTCATAGGGTGTAGAAAAAAATTGATATACTATTCATGCCTGTTTCCTGGAAAAACAAAAACCTTAAGTGGCTTAATGTGGGCTTGTTTTTCTAGTGAGTTCTGGCAACCATGTTTATGTGTCATGAATATTTTTGTATGGTATTGCCGGAAGACAGAGACTGTAAATGTTAAATCCGTATATCTGATTAAGGTTAATTTTCTACACTAGCATTCAGATTATTTTAAAGCTAACACACACACACACACACACACACACACACACCAAAAGCCACAACGCTTTAAGTGTCGTAGTAATCGTAGTTAAAATTCATTAAAGATAGATAGATAGATACTCACCTCGGACATGTTCACAGATCATAAGATAAGCAAGGAGAGCAACACTGGGACACAGCACCTTACAGCCCATCTTGTTCATGTCGGTGAATGTCAGCTCCAAACAAGGCCAATGTTATTTGTTTGTTTTTTCGCAACTAATAAATATAAAGATAGCTTAGCGTAAGGAAATGCGCTTTTAAAAAAAAAGTGTACTTTTTAAATAATTAAGTCAACACATTCAGTACAACAACAACAAAAAGAAAGAAAAAAAAGAAACGAGAGATTCACATGAGAAAAACCTGTTAGCATGTTAGCAGCTAGCATAATCAAGACGGGGTTTAAATTAACATGCCACATTATTAGACAACTTACACATGATCTGAACGAATGCTAAATAATAGGCTTAGTTAATCAACCAAGCTTCATTTAATTTTCTTATAAGGCTATTCGTTACGCCAAAATAATGTTAAAGTACGCAGCGCGTATGAAGGGCGTAATGGCCATTGGTCACTGGCTTCATCTGTTAATTTAACAGTCGATAACAGAAACCCTAATCTAACTCGACACACGTAAAATACCATTGTGAAATAACAAATAATTTCACATAAAATAAAATAATGTAGTCATATATACATTTTTTTTTTTTGGACAATTTCTTTTAAAAATGTCGAGGACTTTGTGGTAGATAGGCTAATCTATACACAGAGAAGCGAAAATGAAATCCTTGTTTTAAGCAACCTTACCCTCGGGTGTTTTTAGAAGATTTCTCGGTGTTCAACGCAGGATTCAGACTGAGACAGGAAAGGGTTAGGGTGGAGATCAACACTTGCTTCCCTTGAAGTAATTTCCGTCTGAGGCCGAGGAGGGCGTAACGATGCGTCAGAGATTTTAGAGGGTGGGACGCTTCCGTTACCGATTCTGAAACCTCACTTTACGACTTGAAGGTTTATTATGGTTTATGGCAGAGCCAGAGTTTTTATTTTTTATTTTTTTTATTGCAATTGAAAGATTAACAACAGTTATTTAGTAACATGGGGCTAACGGACATCATCACATGAAGTTAGACAAGCTACACAAATTAACAAAATATATCAATGATAAAGAAAAGAAAGAAAGAAAGAAAGATAGGAAAGTCTTTTAAAGATAGCTTACAATAGCCTCAAGAATGTTAAAAGTTTTAGAAGCCTTTGAGTTCAAAGGATTTGACATATTCTTAAAAGAAGTAAAAAGGGACTTTATATCAGATGAAAACATTTTAAAGTTAGGTTTGCAATGAATGGTTCTGGCTTTATGAAGGTGAAATTTACCCAGAAGACAAAGCAATAAAACAATATTTTTCAGATTAATGTCCTTGGAATGAAAATCTGACAAAAAAAATGATAGATTCTGTTATTTCTATCATTTTGTTACAGCAGGAAAAAATTAACATGGTAACTTCTAACCAAAAAGACTTGGTGAATGGGCAATGATAAAACATATGTAGAATAGATTATTCATCAGTATTACAAAATGAACACATTGAGGATATATTATCAGAGAATCTGCTCAAAAATAAATTACAAGGGTAGTATCTATGAGCAATTTTGAAATAGAGTTCTTAATTTGACTTGGGATAGGCAGAGCCAGAGTTGCGTCAACGGAAGTCCAAAACGCTCGATCGTCACGTGATTCACGTAGACCTCAAATAGTCAGCTATCCGTACCTGCCTTGTTAACATATTTTAGGCTTTAGTTACCATGGGAAAAGTCCGTGTTTGCTATATAAACGACATCGTGGTCTTCTGCCAAGGTAACTTCAGCCTCTCTATATAAATATAATTATATGTGTGTGTGTGTTCTTACAACTTGCTTGTTAGTCAAGTTCAATCACAAATATACCTGTTCATTGTCGTTTTACTA